TGTGGCAGGGGGAGGATACTGCAAAATCCCCCTTCCCTTCCCATCCCACTAACCTGCTTTCCAGCTCCGTTCCCCTGTGCAGGGCAACCAAAGGAGACCCAGCCGATTGGCCGGTTCTCCCAACAACTCAAAATTTCCGCTCTTGGTTCTCCAGAACCGGTCCGAACTGGCTGAATTCACCACCTCTGAGACACACACCCCTACACCTTGGGAATGCACCCTAATTTCAGTCAGAAGAACAGAGGACAAAAGAAGAAAAGGCAAACCCAGCCCTTTTGCAGATGCTTCCGGGGAGAACTTCCGACCCACCTGCCTCTTGTAGGCGCAGGGAGTTTCACTCCTGCCCTAGGAGACAGTTTTGCATGATGGCTGTTTATGAATGGGGCTTTTCCCAATATATGAATTATGGGAGGGCGAGAAGAGGCACCAGGCGGCTCTCCCTCCTCAATGCAGCAAGAGGAGGAGCCACCCCAGAGCCCGCTGGCTTCTTCCAATCGCCCCTATCTTTCCATTCTCACTTCCAGCCCAAGTGTCACTGGGCAGCATGCTGATGAGGTTAAGCAGGGTGCGAGCCAAAGATGGTGTTGACAAGTGTGTGTTGAGTTAAAGGGAGAAAGGTTTAAATGCTGGGTCATCTCTGGGCGGCCAGTGTGGTCAGAGAGGCTCAACGAGGCCTCTAGCATTCCCAGCACGCATCCCTTCCTGGTTGATGTTGTCCTTTGCTGTGGCAACTCCTTATCTCGGCAGAGATTAGAGTATTTTCAATCCCTACTTGCAGAGATTTATGGTGGGAACCTATTTCCTGAGCTGTCACCACCCTTCTTGCAAAGCAGAGTTTTAAAACCTGCAGGAGAAATGCAGGAGGAATGTAAATATTTGTGTCAAGCCCGGAATTGCCATGGGCATCATTGCCAATTTGATGCTTTCCTAAATAAAAGAAATTGTCTTGGAAGATGGACTTTGCTCTTTTCTTTTTCAATGGATTCCATCACTTGGAAACCTGACGTATTGCACCTGGGATTTGAGATGAAATGCTTGGCTGATGCTTGGCTTAACCTTCACTCTCCCTTGTCCCGGGTGATCGATCATGGGATTAACTTTCTGGAGAGAGGTGAGGGGCAAAGCAATAGGAGTCTGGGACCACTTTTTGCAACTCACCAATTTCATTTCATTGCTGCACTTTCCAAAAGCTTTTGCCGCTTTATAAAACCTGTAAAAATCAGGAAATGGCGCTCCCAGACACCTCTGGATCTTGGATGCCGTAGCCTGGCAGTTCTAACACATTTTGGTCTCAGGATCAAAAACAGAAAGTGTGCAGAGAAAACCAACAAAGATGATCGGTTCTGTGGTCATGGCTTGCTGGGCATGGCTTGGTGGGCATAGCAGGGGAAGGATACCGCAA